ATATATATATATATATATATATATATGTATGGATGTCTTGAGTTTATACACCTTATTGAAAAGATTTTCCAGGTGTCCTAAATATGGTACCAAGGGGCAACGAGCAGCAAACAGCGGACAGTATGGCGACAAAAGCATTGCATTTTAGGCTCCATTTAAGAAAGTGGCTATCCTAACGCAGATGTATGATTGTTTCTTCAAGGTTGATTGAGTCACTCAGTATGTTTATGGAGCATTAAAAAGTTCTACATTTTTCTTTTTTTTGCGATTAGTTAAATACTATTTGAACGAGTTACAAACGACAAAAGTCAATCTAGGAGATTATTTGTAAACAGGCACCGAACGAGATGATGTTTAAGGCCGTTGCAAAATCGATTGAGATTATAAGAAAGGCATTGTCTCCGATTCAGAAATAGGTAATGTAGTTATAAACATTACAGAAAGCTAAGTCACAGTATTGCGAACCGGGAAAGCGATATGGAGAGCTCGATAGATATTCCATAATTGAGCTAGTACCTAACTTATTTTTCGTTCGTACACACACATACGGGTTATAGCTTTGGCTCGATAGTTTATTAGGCTACTACGGCTACTTTTACCCTTAGATAAGAGGATAACGCAAATGATCTGAGACGATGTTGGGAGAACATGAATTTGAAGAAATATTTGAATGGTTGTGCTGGCGAACGCGCAGTAATCTGCAATGTTTGCTGAAAAAGTTTAGATGATACAGCGTTAACCGGGTTAGCGAAATCGGTCTTCACAGACATGGCAGAAGACTATCAGTCTTCAGTAATAGGTGGGAAACTAAATACAGGAGATGTTCTAGGAGACGCGTCGAAACAAGGAATCGTGGCAAGCTTGGCAATTTGGCAAACTGGCTTTTGAAAAAAGCAAATAGGGTAGCTGCTTTATTAAAGCCTCCGAAGGTTAGGTTAGCAGACCCCACAACGCTTAACGGACAGGTCTTTATGTTATGGCCGCAGAATCTCAGAAGCTACAGTGATTTAACATTAGGGCAAGCTTAACAACCTTGCTTTGCTCCGGAGTTTCGAGTAGTGTCTGAGTGATACTTTTCACCGCTCTGTACTGAACGTACTTTCGTTGTTGATTGGTTTTATCCTAAGCACATATTCTCTTAACCTTTCAAGAACAGATTTGAAGTGACAACGCTTCACCGAAAGGCGTCCAGGAGTAGCCTATTTACAATGGATCAGATTTTTCACTGGAAAAAGCACCATCCTTAAAATTATGTACCTTTTTTTGTTCACACAGGTTGTGTAGTATGCACTATAGATCTACCTACTTTCTATGAAGGAGACCGCGGAACCAATCAGCCAAGGAAGGATGTCTAGTGCAACACTCAGATTTATTTATATCGGAAGTTGGTTAGAGTAGAAACATAATAAATAATTTCCTTTTTCTAACTAGTAAATTTATATTCGTGTCCCGGCAAACGGTCATGGGCTTATTTTGTGAGTCGATTATACATTCAAACAATCCAGTCAGTGTGTAACAGCTTTGGCGATTGATGGGGTAAGTTTCAGTACAATGCACTTACTAAATCATACGTTGATTTGATAGGCAGAAGAAGTTGACGTTTCAGTGAAAACGAAGTGCACTTCTTTGAAGCCTTATGTCGAGGGCGAGCGTAGTTATTTCCTTTCAGGGAGGGCCTCTTTGAAACTTGGTAATTGATGCGAGGCGAGACCTCATTTCGTATCTTTATGGCAGCGTCGGAGTGCTACTCATGGACAGATCAAGTAGCCACAGTTCCTCTTTCGTATTGTCATCGCTGTCGCTCCGATGATCGTCCATGCTCTAATCGTTGTTTCCTTGTCGTCGCTCCATTCACCGCCGGCAGCCGCATCCCCGTCAGCATCATGAAAAACGCATCGCTGATACGCGGATCGTCCGCACGGTCATTTTTGTACTAATGGTAGATCAGCTATGTTGCTATTCGTCAGTACTTCTGTTGTAAAGTAGGCTTTATATGATCCGCCATTGAGCGACAAGCAGACGCGTATTTCCGGATACTGTAATATTTTTAGTGATGATTCGATTTTTAAGTTAATCAGGACAGAGCAGCCTTCTTCAATGCGACCAAAAAAGCCGCAGCCATCTATGACTTCGTACTACAATTCCTTTGTATGAGACAGGACCCAGTAGCCACACGCTGCGATAAAGTTCGGCACCGGCTGTATCATTTCAAAATCTACCAAACGGGTACCTGTTTAAGAATTAGTAGATCTCTTTAGTGTACTTGACCGGTGATATGAATGATTCTGTCGCCTCTCTTCATTGAAAACCATTCCAAATTCACTGCTTTAAACTGCCACTAGATGGAAGCTATTCGAAGCTTTTGATGTTCGGCTTTCTGCTACTTACACAGCACCGGAAATTTTCAGCTGCCCATCTTAACTTTACGTATATTACGCTATTTAACGCGGGTTTTCAATGACCAGTTCGAAATCGCGTTTTTGGGCTAACTTAACAGTGCTTAATGGCTTCCGCGTTTGTTACATTGTTTACTTGTCTATAGGGTGCAGGGCTATTAGGGCTTGCCGCGTCATCGCTTTCTAGTCCTGTTCAGGACATAAGAGACTAATTGTCATTAAAAAATCTAGCTGGCGCGAGAGGTAACTATCTTTATTAGTTCGATTAGATGATAACGACATCATTTACTCCTTTTATTAATCTTTATATATTTTATTATTAATCTTAATTACGTATTATGCCTATAAGGTTTTTTGAGAGGAACCGAAATTAATTTACTATTTTTTGTTGAAAGACCACAGCGTGTCTTGTTTACCGATTCCGACTGAAACCGAGTGATCTCATCATAGAAACAACATAAGAATGAAGATATGATTCCGTTGTTACTCGAGAACCTTTTGCGTTATCCAGATAGCATATATCGCGAATATACGGTTACAGTGCACGGGTAAAAAGGGTAAAAACAGCAGGGACAAAAAATAGTAAGCGGTTGTAAGCATAGTTGTCTGTCTCATCAATCAACTGTAACTTCGATATGCTATTTATCTCTTCTAGAAAATATACGCACTACTTCAAGCGAAGCTTGAAGTCGATAGTATCCCTGTACAATCAATTGGCAGCCTTTTATATATTAAATATTATTATATAATATATTAAAGACTGTTAATTAAACTGCTTTTTTTTCAAGTCAAACAATATTTTCCAATGGCCGCTGTTGCTATTAAGGAGGGGTAATGGAAACATTTCTGTTTGATGCGTTTGTTATCCAGTTTTTTCGGTCAGTCTCTTTACACGTTAGGAGGAGCAGTCTGCTTTGCATCACTGAATTTGTGACGAAGAGAGAAGAGGTAGTAATCTCAATTCTTTCTAGCAGACCAATGAATACCTGCAGAGACAGCCGAAGTGATCGGGGCCACCATTACTGTTGACGAAAGGGCTTGGGACGGAATGCACTAGTTTTTTCCTACACTATGTCTTTGATGCCTTATTTTTGCTATTTTAATAGGCCACCAACGTCCAGAGGATAGTTCTTTTTGCTTTTTCATTAATTATAATTATAGACACGCCGTGCATTTTGAGGTTCTGAAATATATTAATATTAAAAACGTTATATAATATATGATATGAAAAATCTCTAGGTTAAGAGTTGAAATAAATAAAAATTAGGTCTTCATTTAAATTATTAAATTAAACTTAACAACCTGCTATTTTCCCCGCTCTTTCTGCTCAACAAATTATTGATTTAGTTGACAATGCTGTTTGAGCTGCTGGTGATCCTAACTTCCATGGTTCTGCCAAGAAAGTATGTAAATTAAAAAAAAAAAAAAGCTCATAACCTCCTTTTATGACGACACGAGAATCTATCTAAAGTAACTAAATGGACGGTAAGAAAAAAGACAGAAACGAGTATTGTATGTACAGTTGAATAATCTTTGGTTTTATCGATTGGCTTCAATTCTGCAATGCTTTTAAAGCCAGAGTAGAATCAACAGTAATGTTTTCTTGCCATGGGTCAGGGCGATCTGGGTTGTTTCGCTATTGGGGTGCGTAAGGTAAAATAGACTATCGGTGGAGATCACATTGCATGACACATCTTTTTATCGTGACGTTTGTTCGTCCGGCATGATCATCAAGTAAACTACTTCTAGTAACCAACGGTAATACTCTTCAGTATTCAATGCATGAGCTAATGGTTCGTACACACAAATATTGCACCAGTGTGTAAAAAGGTTTTGAAGGCATTAAAATAATCCTAAGCGATGGACAATAAGAAAAAATATTTGTAACCACTCCAGGGTGGATCTGAAGGCTCCACACGGTACGAGATCTATAACTTCATATTTCTAGCGATTTGTTCAGATGGCACAAATATATTCGATTTTAGATCCTTTTTGGTAATATTGAGAAAGGTCATATTGAGCCGGAAAGACTAAGCCACGGTGTGGTACGGCATAATCTGATTTAAATATTGTGGCATAAATTTTAGTTCAATCATAAGCTTTACGCTGATCAAAAATTGAGCCGCCGAAAAGTGAGAGAGTTCCAAAAATCTGCTTTTACTGTTACATGTTTCTGGCGCATCACGCTTCCGCATGCTGAAGCATTGTCGTCTCCTGTTGCAGAGAAACAAAGGGGACTTCAACCGAGTGGTGGTATATGCATGAGGATGTGTTATCAAGCCCGAGTGGTAAGCTGATTAGAATAGTCCAAATCCTTCCTTTGTTGATTCGTTTCCTCCTCGGACAAAGTTTTTTCGAGGAAATCTTTTGAAAGGAGAAACAGCATCTGTTTAGTTTCAGTGTAGCTGCTCCAGTGCTATCGCCATAAGGCAGTTGCTGCGAGCCAGATGACATTACATGAAGTAGAAGATGCGTCAAAGTGACGAAGAAAACGAAGATGCCGGTTTTCTTGATCTGATGGTCTTTGTGTGCGTAAAATGTGTGTGTGTGTGTATGTAGGTACGTCTGTGGACTACTTTTTTATGTACGGAAGTCGTGTTTCAGGTGTTGGGAGATGGAGCCGAAGTATCGTGGCATCACCTGGATTCTACGCGGACCCATTTCACTCTCTATCATTGTACGTATAACAGCAGCAGCAGGCATATATAGCAGCATCGATTTAGCGCTTATTTATCTGGCCATCAGCAAAGGTTAGCGTTAACAGCGTTCAAGTAGGTCGCGACAACGAACTCGTTAATCTGTTCTGTTTTTTTAGTTTTTAGCTTCGGTCTGAGACTCTCTTGTTGGTCGCTGGCAAAAAAGGCTTAGCTCCTATGGGCGATATATATCTTTATACATGTTCTGCCAAGTTCTAAGTTTACCAAACAGTTTAGCAGATAATCGGTATGACCTAGTTGGCACGCTTACCTATAGACGCATTCCTGCCCACCAGGTAGCCTTTATTGTATGCTGTGCCAGTAAGTATAATTATTCATACTGGAAGGATTCATATTGTACCTTATCTCAACAAAGAGAATCTCATTTATCAATAATTAGTCCAAAATCATATGGTATAGTTTGCTGTTAGCGATCAATTAAGCGCAAAAGCAACATACTATCTGCAGCCCCTAATAAAAGAGAACCAGTTGAACTCATCAGTGCCTCCTTGGTGGGCTACTTTTTTACAATGTATCAACAAAAAAAATCGCTTATTTGGCATACAACAATCCCGCATTCACATTGAGGTATTATTCAGATGTCACTGTCCCTTATCCAAACATGGGGGAACGAGCAGCGAACTTGTTACGAGACAGAGCCTGTGGAGCATACCACTCCGTGCCAGGCTAATCAGGGTCGAAGACCTATTTCCAGAAAGCCGATTAGGCCAGTGAGTCGTCAGCGGTTTTTAGCCGCCATTTTTTAATGTGACAGCCGTTGGTCTTTATGTTACTTTTGTGATCCGTTTAAGCAATCTACAAACTCCAGTTGCTTAATCGTCCGTCGATTTCCCGACAAGCACCACCGGCTTGGCCTATAGGCCTTGTCCTTTACGGCCCCACGTCCAAGTAGATTGTAGCACAAAACGTCCACTGCAAATAACAAACTGTGCTTTATGGTGGAGGCTCAAATAAATTTTCCTCTCCAAAGCGAGACCTCGAAAGGATTTGGTGCTATCGCGCTAAAAAATACGCTAATATCATCATATTATTATATATAATACCACATCAAATTTAGCCAGTGACAGAGGTGCGTATAGACAAACGGGTTGTTCTTTGTCTTGCGCCCATATCGCAACGACCTTTCGCGATTCACACAAGTGTATAAAGCAATTATGCGCGTGTCTACGTATGTGGGCACGTTTGTTCAGTCGAGCCATACGGGTCGACGGCGGCGACACAGCTGTAGACGAAACATAACCAGATTCTGTTGTCGTTGTTATCTTTATTTCAGTTAAACTTTTTCTTCTTCCTAAGTATCACACGAGTTTTATTTGTCAAAATGTCAGCTGTGCACATACCGGATGCGCGAAAAGTTCGATACCGGTAAGCTTATTGGCAAACTTAGATATGCAAGATAGTACCTTAGTGAAGCTGTTGCATTACATAATTTCAGAGGTAAACTATCTTCTAGTTCTTTTATTGTTAACACGCTTTACGGGTAGAAATTTGTTTTGGCGAGGGACACTACCCCTTACTCGACTATTCGCTAGCAGGTTTTTTTTTTTTTTTTTTTTAATAGAATTAACCTTTGAAACTGGCTAGAATACAATCAAAAGCGAGTAAAATAGTTAAGGTAGACAATAAGAAAAGAGGAAACAACAAAGGATGTTAGCAATAAGAGTGGCTTCAGAAATCAGTCAATACCTTTTAACAAATTTAGCGTCTACAAAAACATATGGCTAGAATAGCAAATTTGTAGATTCTAACATGCGTGTCGAGTTGTCAATTTTAATGATTCCTCGTTTGAAACCAGAAAACATGAAAAAAAAATTACATTATTGTCATATAATTTTGACTAAAATGAGGGCTTAGAATTTCTCCGGCGTTGTAGTAACCATAGGGGTAAAGCTATAAAATGATCTTAATAGGCTCACTAAACTAAAACTTGTTTTTAATCTAGCGTGTTCGTACTTATAGATGGGAAAGTAATTCATCCCAATGCGACAAGTATCTATTTTCGTAGACCTTTAATATTGTCATAGATCGAAGTTGAAATCGGTTAGTATTACACGTTACGTTTCAGAAAATGGTTTAAATCAACACTCGTTTTAATTCCGTTATTCGGCGCTCATCAGATACTTACTTTAGCAGCCAGCCTCCTGCATAACGACCGGATGGAATTTATTTGGCTTTACATAGATGTCGCCTTTACTACGTTTCAGGTAACTTTCATCTTAACTTATATCATTTTAGCTAAAAAAAACAAATATATAGTTATTGTTCTATTAATTAATCTACTACTCGTAGGTGACAAATATCTCAGCGTCAATTGGAAGCGCCACTGCGTTACAGACGATTCACTCAGCACCACGTATTGCTTACTCAAAACAAAACCTAAGATATGTTCTTGACGTATTATTTTGGATAGCCTTTAACTGGTAAGTGTAAAGCTGAAGTTCGTTAACTTGGTTGAAGTAGAGATAATAAAAGATGTACGCTCCTAAATTACCAAAGCTAACAGGAACGGGATTATTATTCCGGATTATATTTTGACGACCGAACAAGCTCGGTCGGATCTTTCTGTCGCTGCCGGCGTAGTATTCGGATCCGGCTCTGCGTAGGCAATATCCGAGACATATCGATGCAGTGGACGACTAATTCACACCTTTCTAAAGTTTGATCAGGTAGAACATTTCCCAGCCGCTTGACGAAAAGACAGATAGTTTAGTTGTTGAGAAGGGAACTTGAAAGAACTGAGCATATGAAGAGGGCGAACATTTTCGGTCGAATAGCTTTTAGTAAGCGTTCACACAGTTGGTATCCAGGAGAAGTAGCGAAAATGACTGTAAGTAATGAGTAGCTTGGCTCATAGTAAGTTGCGTTTTAACTTTTTGTCCTTCGAACATTTTGGCTTTCGATAAACTTAACGCATTCATTGACCACTCAAGTTCACATGAAGTACGTGCTTGTTTAAGCATTTTTAAAAACTTTGTCAATGATTAATTCATATTAACATGACAAAAAATATAGAGATTGACACATAGTAACGGGATTAATATGTTCCGTATTTCACACCAAAAATAGAAACAAGACTACAGGATTTGTTGTGGGCATCGATGAGGTGAAGGTAATACATAGTGTTGCTAGGTGCATTGTATCGCCCCAAGGCACTCCTGGTCATTTTTTCTGACAGTATCAAGATAGATGGGGGAGCCGTACAATGAAGATACGTGCAGAAAAGAGCAATCATATGCATCCCGTCACAGCTTTGCTCGCTGCTTCTAAATTAAAACTAGCGTAAGTGGATTATTCGTCATTGCTTAGTAAAGTCGAGTTTCAAACTGTCTAGGGGACCGAGTTGTTCCTTCAGGTTTCAGCGGCTGATTTTATCTTCAACTTGCTTCTCACCGCATTATAGACTAGTTTATTCAAAGTGAGCTCGCTAAAATCAAACAGTAAAATGGCCGTAAGTATTTCAGTTCAGGTTTCATGCAGTTGTCGATCTAACACGTAAACTAAGATTTAGTATCCAGCAAAATACATATGTAGTCCTTGTTGGAACGATAACGATAAGTCATCGGTTATGTAAAAACACAGCACAGCAAAGAAAAAATAGTAAAAAAAAAAAAAAAAAAAAAACGAAAGAGCATTGTTCCTTTGAATTTTAACTAAACGAACTTTACCTTGTGCCCATCTTGCTGTGGACTAGAGTAATCGGCTTTGTTGACGTTGCATTCATATTACGGTAGACTGTAATATGTCCCGAAAATGATCCCGTTCCAGTGACTCTTCTTCAGCTAGCCATTGTAAAGTTCGTCAACCTATTCTATTGTGAACGAATTTAACGCGCTTTACATCTAACCTAGCTCAAATACCAGATGTACCTTTGCGCTAAACGGGCGACGATTCTCTTAAAATTCTAGCACAAACTCCGTTACTCCGTTGTCGTAACAATGTCTCCTTAATTTAAATCCATTAGTAACATGCACTTACTTTTTCTATCTTGTTCTCCTATTATATTATTCCATTAGCCCTGCTACTAGGTTACAAGTATCTCATTGACTTATGCCTGGCTAATATTTGACCTACGTTCCTGCCAGCCTAACAAGCATCCGGAGGCCGACGCCCTTAAAAGCCTCCAACCTAAGTTCTCCTGACACTCTCGTGTTAATTCGATATTTCATGGCAACTATCCGATAGAAGTAGTTATCATTTCTGACATCATCGGTTTGTTATTTTTATCGATTTATGTTATCGGTCTTGTAGTACTGCTAGAGTTATTCTAATACTCTGATCCAACAGTAAATTTTTTGCTTTGCTGAAGTGAATTCTTCAGCAAGCCCGTTACTTCATAGCAATTAATCCGTTCAGCCACAGGCAGTGATCTGCTACCTGAAAGCAAAGCAGCAATAACCGACCTCGAAATAGACAACGTAAACCCAAATAAAATTTATTCCACTCGAGTAATGTGAATCATATATACCGAAACTTTAGGTTTTTCTTGAGCATTTTAGAGATTACTACAGTTTGTATTACATTTTCTTACGTCAGAAACGACTACTGCTCGGCAAAAAAAATGCGTTTATGAACTCTATTAGTACTTCATTACCTATGTCCTATTTTCACTCCAAGACGACTAGACCGCAAACATGTAAAATGTCTCCAAATCTAATATTGTTCTTCGGAGCTTGAAGGAAGATAACTTTTCATTATAAATATTTAAATACTTCTTGACGATTGCGGAGCAATTGCCAAGACGTAAAATTCGCCTAACTAATCACTAAGCTCTATGAAGAAAAGGATTTCCCAAAAAAAGAAATATATAAAAAAAGATGAATATTTCTAGCTGCAGCTTTTCCCCGGGTAAAATTCTGGCAGCTTACCAAAAATCAGCCCAATGCGATTGCCCTACATGGTCGATAATTGATTGAAGAGATCTATTTCTAATGTAACTCCACACACCATTCTATGCCACACGAGAATAAAGCCAACGGAACTATCGTAGATTTGACCTTCCTCTCTGATATATTTCTTACAGGGTTCAGTGGTAGCTCTACTATACTGTTTTGTAAATAATGAGGTGCAGTCAGAGGTGATCCGACTGCTGCCTGAACGTTTTCGACGAAAACTTCCCTTAGGAGACGGTGGAGGGTTCCCATCATCGACGAATTTCTCTAAACGAGATTCGCTGGCACCGGGTGTGTGTACATTCAAAGGTATTACCTCATTCCTACTACATCAAGCAGCGGTTATTATCACTTTTTCAGTTAATCACACCACATATAGCGTATGCATTCTACTTCTATGTTGATTATGGCCTGGCAGTGTTTAGATCTACCGAAATCGGCTCTTGGCGCCATCTTCATTTCAGCTTTGTTTGACGGCGTATCACGATTACCAAACGACCACAAGTCGTTATCCGTGCATGATACTACACGCTTTGCTAGACCCTATTAGACTATCCGATGGACAGTGAAACCCAACATGTTTGCCCTCTCCAAACAGTTACTTTATTTCAATATAATAACAAATAAAATTTTGACTCTCAACTATTAACGCTATATGATGTCTTGAGATCGGATGATGTCGGAGATACTTGAATTTGTGCGTGGTTGAAGCACATATTTACTTGACTACTTCAAGGGCAGTGAAAATATTGAGCTAGTTAATCGACGAAAACTAATTAGACAAACAGCAATGGTAAGCTCATTACATTAGTAATGTAATAGACATAGTTACCACAGAAAATAATCAAAAGATCAGTTTTCTAATATCAGAATATCGGAATTCAGTGCCCTTGGGTAGGCAGAAATCTGATCAAAAACGATTAGTAAATCATGTTGAAGCTAGATGCAAAGCAATTATACAGCCGCAAGCGCACAACTTCATTCGATTTGCTATAAAGAAAAAAAAAAAAACTATCGTCATAAAAATATTGGAGGAAAGAAGGATTGTTATTTTCAGGCCCATTTAGCAGACAGCCTGAGCGAGTTGGTGGGGTGCGGGGGTACAGAAGAGAGACCGAACATTCTGTGCAGCGCGTTGTGAGGAAGTGTCGTTGATCTGCATGCCGTCATTGCTTTACTACATGTTTACCTATATGACAAAGCAAGCTTTTTTTGTCTGTACTTCATCAGTCGATGACGCCAAACTCCGTACAGTAGACATTAATCATCTTATTTGCCTGTCTCCCTGTCTTCACGTATGCGTACGATGGAAACAAAGCGGCACCTGGTCAGGGACAGCTGCCATCAGCGGACATTGCTTATAACGTTTTGTTATTCTGATCGCAGAGGCGAATTGTCGTTGGTCGACCATCTCCGGGTAGATATCACGCGACAAGGATTTTACGCCTAGTTGGCCTTGGCTCATCGATAAAAATTGTTCGATTGCGCCATAGTGGCCAGCTGTAATGGGTGCAGCTACGTTTGTTGCACTTTTAACGAGATGCCGATTTTTTGGATGCTTCTAAAACCGCTAATGTCGTGTGAAATTGAAGCACTATTAAATAGTTTTAGATGTTTCATTTGATCGCGTATAAAAGATAGGTTAAGTGTGGACCTAAAGACGCGGAGGGCCAAAACGATCGGAGACCAGACTGTCGAAGTCAAATGCGACAACGAACACTAACAAGGCCGCCAATTCAACATTTGAGCAACATGCCAAACGGGATAGGCAACGCTGGGGAAGGTCCATAGATATCAAATGCTTGTCATAAAATCCGAACGGTCGTTCGCTACAAACTTATTAGCTGGCAGCAACTTAACCAGTGTCTACAATGGTACCATTAAGACATGATACGTTACCATTTTCCAGACACGAACGTCGTTAAAACGTGAGGCATCCGGAACAAGCGCGGTATGATTTCGTCGCCGAGTAGATATCGTTTAAATATGAATTTATCTTGACTGGTGACAAAGTCAGTAGACTGTCCTAGCTATATTACTTTACTCCATTCGATGTAAAACCGGCCAACTGGATTGCAGGTTCAGCGTCTTGGCTAAGCTTTGAATTTTTCATGAGATGAACAAAACCCTTAAGATGGTTCCTTTTCTAGCGATGTGTATAGAGATGCAAAAGTTTGTAATTGTATTTGTGAAATGGAATCCATCTTACGAACATAGTAGATTCCCATAAATATATGCTTTTGCAGTTGATTCGTTTGTCTCTCCAAAATTCATAGAAGCAAGACAGTTTGACACAATGACTTACTTTACATAGGTGGTACTGTTTTTTCATTATTAATTTGGTGGTGTTGCACCACCCTGATCCGGAATTAGCGCGTGGACCTTCCTTTCATACGGTTCTCAAGTAATGAAAGGTCTGATCGTCTTTATTTCAGTGCACGGGAAGCGCCGTCTACTTCGACAGGGATCCACACAGACGTGCACCGTTCGCGAGGAAATTAGTCTAGATAATATACAACAGTTGGGCAACATTCGGTGCCAGGATAAAAGCAATCACAAGAGCGGGCTCAGCAGCAATGGAGACCAAAAAAGCAAGAATAATTCCAATGAAACTAAGCTACTGTTAAGCAGAGGACGTCCATGCAGCGGTCGAGAAGATGTGCTCGATGGAGGTTTACATAATGATTCATGTGTCTAACAGAAACTCAAATGGAGCTTACCTCATGTTGGATAGACATCACTGAACCGACAGTCAAGTACGATACTGTGCAAAAAACGCATCAACGTTTGCGAACAAGCCTCAAAACATGTTGAACACAAAATATCGCAATTACATGATGTGGCCCTGGTGTGCTGATTTGAAGGGCGTAATTTGTTCTTTGCGGTGTACCTGTGTGCTCTCAGGAACACATAAGAAGTTCTTCGAACAGTGAGGCACTGACACGTCTCTCATTTATGAAAACCGTATGCGCAAAAGGAAAAGCTCGTCTTTCCAATGTTCGCTTCTTTTGTTTTTGTCATGCCACAGCCAGCAGCAGTAGAAATTATTCACAGGCTAACCTGCGACGATTCGACGGCGTAGAATTTCTGTTTTCAAGCGGGATGTCATTCTTAGCCAGGCAGCAATTTACTTATGCAAAACACAAGTTAAACTTTTCTCCTACCACGGCGTTTGGCCCGTATGACTTATACGACTAGAGAAGGATTAGTTTGTCATGGGCGAAAAGAAACCGCACGATGGGATCTTTCTTCGCGCTGTCTAACCCTATGCATACGATCATTTTGCAGTGATCCATTAGCAGGTATGTGAAGTAGCAGACGGGCTTCATAGAGTGCTCTAGGTACTGTCGATATTTGCTATGGGCCCTCAGAGAATAGAACCAATAGTGTTAGTATGTTTAATTGCGAGTATGTAAGAAGTGAAGACGAAAACTGACGTACATACGAGACGATTAGTTATCAGAGATATTTTCCTTACGCGACCCTTAGGCACAGAGTGTTATGGTATTTCCCCAACAAACTTCTGCTCTTGCATAGCTCCTGACTACAACACGAGCGGGCGTAAAAGTGTTATTTCGTTTCCTAGACTAAAGACTTTTGGCACGGTCGTACGGAGACTTGCAAGAGTGCTTGCAGTCTGTGGATACTATTAACATGCCTACTGCACAACAGGGAAATTAGTAGAAATAGCAGAGCTAGCTCATAACAACGTAAATTATGTACATACACGCATGAACATGATTATAATGAACAATTATAAAAATATAAAAACAAAAAAATCATATACATTGATGTGAATAAGCGACGATACGACACAAAGTTGCAATACAATGCGTGGAAAAGATGATTGGGAGAACATTCATCTAAAATTGCTATTACGTATACGTGTTAATTCATCGTTCCAACCATTATCTGTGTTGATTAATGCTTGTTCAACTAATGAAGCACACGATTGGCCTTGAACGTGTTTTACGGTTGGTTGGCAGGGGCAGATATGTCATCGCCCTTCTTCACACACTTCAAATAAAACAAAGAAAAACCACATACATGCTGTTGTGTGTTGAAGGATGCCATTTAAAAAAAATGAATTACCATATACTATCAGGTTTGTGTCATGAGAGAGATAACGTGTGTACCAAATAAACTCGCTTAATATAGCTAACTTACGTCTGATGTAGTCCGCACATTCAAGGAACACCAAACGCAAAAAAGCTAACTTACAACCGTAATTATAGCAGGGCTTCCCCTGCTTTTTATGGTTGGGATGACCGGCTAGTATTATAATACAGTTTGTATCTAAACTGGAGAAACTGTTAGGCACAATAGGGACCTACACTGGTTTCTCAGTGTTTTCTATGCACGTTACTCCTGCACAGAAAGAAGCTTTCATTGTAACGGAAAGAGAGCTATTGCGAGTTCTGTGGCATATTCGATGTGCTACATTTTACAGCTAATCCATAACAAACTAGCAAACCTATAAAAAAGATGTTAATTTCCATCTTTAGCACAGCACTCAAATACACTACGATGATAAACAACTAGTTACCTATCCGCAGACGGTATGATCTCTTGAGGTGTAATTTCGCGAGAAATTAACGTCCGCATGCAGTTGTCCTGAACACCTACGACGTGCCGAAACGTTTATGTTTGCCGGTAGAGTATAGGATTTTTCGCATCTCCTATCTCTAATGAATACCTGGGATCGCACTCTTGTTCAGCGAGGCGAGCTGAAGGTCTGAGAATTATTCGAACTCTCTATCAACGTATCTCTATGAGACAGTTTACGGACGTGCCGAGGCGTCTTTGTCGATCGTTGACCTGCGACTTGTTTTTTTTAAAGCCTACTTGAATTTTTTTGTCCGTAAAAAATGTCATCACAGAAATATAAACATGAATTTTGAAGTAAAGCCAGAGTTGCTAACTGTCGCCGGAATATATTAGTACATAAAATTTACTTTATTGTACTATATTGTTCGATATTGTTTACATTAAAGCTGCATCAATTACTCACGGCGGCATCATGACGACCTTATTGCTACGTTCACCTAAAGTTAGCCGTTAATTAAGTGTGAACTGTGTACAGACAGACATATGAAATGTGGCTAACGAGCACTTACGATCTACAAAATAAACCTAAATTATGACTCTGTATAATTCGTCGAGTATTTTTTACATATAGAACAATGTGTACCTGTAAAATGGATGAACGAGTCAAAGGATTCCGTTCAACAACTCGATAGTTCAAGTTCAAATCCTTGAATCCATAAATTCCATGGGTCATGGTGGATAGTGCCGGACTTGAGAAGTTTTTCCAACAGGCATATGAAATGGCATGGTAACTGCACAACCACCAGCTATTAATATTAATCCCTAATTTTTTCGTAATGTTTTGTTTTCCTGATTATGCTTGGTCGTAGTTTCGCCGAAGGCTAACATTTGAGCTAGAGTAATTGCATGCTTGCTAGTCCACGACTGCCAGAGCAATGAGCTCAGAAAGATCTGTATCAGCCGTTCAAATTGCACCGTTATCTCTGCTAGATAGAACATTGAATATGTTGGTAAGGATAAGGCTTCTTTCGTATCCACCCGTGTCTCATGAAGATGTGAATTAATGTATCAGCTGCGTTGTATTGGGCGGCTACATGTAACAAAAAGGTCAACAGGCCATTGTTAATTCAGTCATCCGGCCATGCACTATCGAATCAACCAAAATTCAAATCCGACCTCTACGGACATCATCCTGGCGGGGGGTCTCTAGGCTTACACCGTTTTTCTCTCACGAACCCTGAAAATTTTATACATACAAAATTTTAACTTAGGTATTGATGTATTTAAATTTATCGCAGTAACGAGTGTGAAATATATGTAGGATTTCCCAATTTGACCTTTTTTTGACCTGCATGAATATCAAGAAATACCGAATTTCATACCCTGCAATAGCATGCAAATTGTGCCCCTCAAATTTAACTGTTATTAATTGAAACATGGGAGCTAAACATCATACGCTGATATTATGGAAACTGCTTGGGTACCTGTACAACGTTGGAGCTCTGTAATGCTCAGCTTTTCATTCCTGCTTCGGAAACTTGAACCGGCTTGCCAAACATCCAACGATTAAAGAAGGTTTAACCATCACTAACGTAGTTTTCCTTGTTCATTTAAGTATGAAGCCTGCCGAAGCGACACTGACCACTGTGCTTCTTGACTGTGATACTGTTTCGTCGATAGTCCGCCGTTGAGTAACAATGGAGAGAGGTCCTTCTCAGAAGCATTCTTACGGTAAATACAGAGGATTGTGTCGAGTTCTTGGTAGCGGCAAAGCAAGCTCTTAATGCAGATATTATCTAGAAAGTTAGAAAGGCACTTCAAGTTCGTTGGACGATGTGCACTTCCGTCACTTAAAAGCAATAATGCAAAGTCAGCATAAAAGTAGGATACAAGTAAAGGCAAAGACTTTTTTAACTTCTTGTGTTAAACCCCACTACAGCGGGTCAAAGATCGGTACTTGTCTATACACGCTCCTGGCAGACATAGTAGTTAACACGCAGGACATTCGTTCGTTAACAGAATTATGTTTCAGAGTTCCACTTCGTGAAGTATCATCCATCTAATTGCGGCAAACGAACGCCTCAAGTAAGCACCTGCGTTTTAAAAAAAACACCAACAAAATTAGGCGCATCGCCTAACTGTGATATAATCGAGCCGTCACACAGGCCAAGTGTAAAGATCTTTCTTTAACTGAAGTGTGTCAAAGACTTTGATAAGCCTCCTTTGCACAAATTCATGGTGCAGGTAAAGTTAAATGATTTATTTATGATTTTTTTATTATTAAGCGGAAGAAATGCATTTACGATTGCGTAATATTATAGTCAAAGTATTAATCGTGCAACATCAGAAAATCAAATTTCTAAATATACTACTGTAATTAGAATTCTTGCTTGTTTATATGCATGCACACAATTCCAGTCTTTAATAATTAAGACTGATTAGGACAGATACTAGAGTAACGTTAGGGTTCAATCGTTTTCACAACACAGATATACTGACGGATATATTTAGAAGAGTGCATCTCTATGGAAGGAGTATCGACAAACAAGGTGTGCCAATAGGACAGCAAGTGATTGAACATAATCCTTATAGTACATTATTTTTCAGCTTGTAAAACACACCGTTGAAGCTTAACTCATCGGGGTCATTCCGCGCTCCCTACTGTTAGCCTAATCCCGATGCCGTTCAAAAAGTAAACGCTTTAGCATTAGTATTGTTACAGACCACTGTGATGTCAACAACGCAAATGTCGTCCGATGGCCGTCAAACAAGTAAGCTAAGTTGATCACAACAAAATAGCCGTTAAATCTGACAATCGATCGCGTGCGGCACGTGCAAGTAATGTATAGTTTTTTTTGCGTATTTAGACTACATCTGCTTTTAGCGTTAACTTCGTCATTTTAATTCGACGCTAATTGGGAACAAACAGAATGGTGTTTCACCCCAGATGCCCTTCCTAATCTATAACGCCGTTCTCTCATAAAAGTTACATTTGAGTTACATTACCACGCTTACTGAAATCAGACGCATACACTACATTAACTAACATAAAACTAATTACGTTTTAACAATCAATTACGAACATACGTGGCGCCTCTTAGCACCAAAGAACCCGGATATGTATCGGAGGACAAGGTCAATAATGTCAAAATGAGGCTTTTCCTAAGCACAAGGGGCACTTTGTCGCTTACGTCGATTTTGAAGCGATACTCGACAAAATATTAAGAGGTCGGGTTTTGTTCAGAAATTTTTAGAAGCTTATCCGGACCATTGGCTCGAACTTGCGGAAGGGTTTTACTACAACACAGGATGGCGCGGCAGAACTAAACCCCTTCGAACAAATTGCAGGTTAGGCCTTTGACGGCAACCTCAATCCCCTATTTTTCTCAGTATTCCTGAACGATTTCCGAAGGAGGATAAGTGGCAGATACGAAACTCTGAGGGCAATGTGGTATGACACGTTGATGGTCTACGGGAAAAGTCGCTTTGAGGTGCCGCAGGCAGTATATAATAAACGCCGCCCTAGAAATAACATTAAAAGAGACAAAAGCCATGAGGTTCCGAAAGATAGAGCCACTAGCAGCAAATAATATGTTCCGGTTGTGTTCCTTGCCCCTGGAGTGCGTGACTAGGTTTCACTTATCTAAACCTGGCCTTATCCTGCTCCGGAAATCGCTACATCAGGCATGTAACAAAGCACGTAAGGAATATTAGTAGATAGCGTTGCACTTCTTGCTGAATACGACGATACTCCTTTTCAGTATTAAGCTCGCACACCGCATGGCCTCATACGCTACTAAATTCCTCTGGAAGAACCCTAGCGCAGCATAGCTGTGTACGTGGGATCGAATGATGCCTAGGTGTACCAAAACAGCACTGGGCCTGCACAAATCCTGCCTACATCTATTTGCTAGCAGATACGTAACTATTTTCTGAGGATCTCCAACGCCAGTCTGGCTTACTGAATAGCTGGAATTCATTTGACAGCGGGTCGAATGAATGGCTAAAATCGACTTAGTTGTTGTTGCCATTGGCGCTTTGGTGGACGAAACAGGAAAGAAATTACACGGACACGTGATAGCCTGCTACGTAGAACAGAAAACGGCGTTTATGTTTGCGCTGCGAAGACCTCCGTAAACAGTAGCACGCTAGCCAATGACGCGTTCTTTGAATAATGCGTTACTTTATTTACACTACAGTTCATGAGATCTTATGTAGTAAAGTAGTTGACAAAACTGAAAACGAAAGATTACTTGCCGCAGCTTATTTATCGATTGGATTTTTTAAAAATACCTGTATATTTTGAAACGGTTCGGTTGCCCAGACAGATCAAATTTGTTTCTATCATTGACACATTGTAGAAATCCGTATGCATGCAGAGATAGCAAGCGATCTTCAAGTTGATCGTTATAGCCCGTGAATAGAATAATGTGTGGTATAGTATTGACACCACGCAAAGAAGATGGTTTTCCGTCTAAATATAGCGTTAACGCTGCGCTTCTATCTTCAGTAGGGGAAATTTACTCTGGACATCTTCGCTATATGGCTGAGAAACGTAACCCGTAATCAGTATTTCTCGTTAATATCTCTTAGTAGAGTTTCTGTCATGAAGTCTCCAATGCGTTCTGGCATTCGAATTAGCGTGACGGTTTGGCGATTACCTGACCGTTTGCACGTTCTGAGGGTCGATGCTTTATCGAATTAGCAGTGAACGAAGACCGGACAGAGCGTGGTTTTTATTAGAAATTACATAGCTACTCGTAACTACGATATGCATCTATTTTAGTCAATATATACAGCAGAGGACCCATCAATAATCGAAGTATCGAATGTTATCATAACTGAACGTGTATCTATTTCTATCACTAACTGTATTCGGGAGGGATCAATGAAACTCAATCACCCAATGAAATATTAGAGTTATGTAAAGCTACAGTACATCAAACCGGAAGCTGATATATAGAGCATCTGCGCTACCAGCGATAATAGCCTCAGATTAGTATAACGTACATTGTCTCTTGCTTCTGACGCAAACGATACAAAATGAGCATCTATAAACCTCTGACTCTTCGTTAGTCTAGTGGCAATAAAATTAGCGCTCAGCAAATCACCATTTCGAATTTTACTCTGCTTTTTTCGTGAAAGGTGTTCTACTACACCGGTCGGGTATATACATAAACCAAACAAAGTTCAATGAGAGTAACGGGGTTCGACTAGTGGAAACTTTTAGTTTGTATTATAGATATATTGAAGCGTATCGAAATAATGCCCGTGGCTAACAGTAGTCGCCATAACAAATAAAAGTCTCCGATAACCAATAATTATAGCTCTCGTTTTTTGCACCGAATCGTCTACCGGCTAATCGTGATGCTTAAGCTAGCATTCTATTTGAAGCCAGTCTCTTCATACTGGCAAAAAAACTCGGATACGCATACGATGCTTCCATCACTCCGTACGAAGTTGAGCGCCGAATATGTACTTTAAGTTTTAAACACACGAGGAACTATATTTCCTTCTTTAAACCTACGTTGCAGTTATCGTAGGAACAACATGCGCTCTATCTGGTCAATAACTTTACCTGTTAGCACGTTCCAGAAGACAACTTTAATTTCAAGCAGACGGTTTAAAGGCAACTAGCACTTGTGCCCAACAGATAACACAGGACTTATACAGGAGCAGTAAACAAACTGACGCTATCTTCGCCTAGAGATGTGTCTCAGGAGGACAGGAATGCAATTGTATCTGGAACGCACGCTCCGAATGCGGCAGGGTAGGAAGCCATCAGGAGTTTTGCTAAGAGTTTCTTAAGAGCGTCGAAAGCAGCCTTTCCAAAAGAGGCCCACTTTTCTAAGTCACCAAGAACTTTATTTATTAGATCATCCCATAGAAAATATCAGGGCATTATTATTTAGAAACAATTGCTTTCACCCTTTTTCGCCTCTGGCAATCCTAAATAGTTCCCAACCAATTCATATAACGATCTTTCGTCGTAATTAGTTGAAAAAATACTTCAAAGTAGATCCCGAAGGTCGGTGGCCCGTGCGATATCTTTTTGAGGACATCCACAATGTTGTTTAGCTTTGCAAATATTTCAAAGAAAACTCACAGCAAGGAATACGTAGACAAAGAGCGTAGTAAGAGCGGAAAAACATCAATATGCAGCACATACGCAGGGGCAATATGACGAACAGCTATCTCGAAGCGCCTTATGTACGGTTTGCGAAAGCTTTTTGTTTCCTGAATCGAAAACAGCACGACGATACGATTTGATGGTAGTACTTATGGCAGTCCACAGGTCGAACTCGACTGAACCCGTTTCCCGAAATTATAGATCATTGGAAACGCTCATTTAACCAAGTATCTAACTGGATTTTTTGGACGGAAACAGACGCAGCTTACTTACATGTTACTACATATAAATCGTTGTTATCGAAAGTTGACACATTTGAGATAATCTGTTATGATTTTTATATTTGTTCCTATAGCTAGTCTTAGTCAAAATGAAAATATATCTTGTTCGCTATTAAATTGGAATATTGTGTAAATGAAAAACGCTCTAACTGTTTTAGAAGTGTCATGAATAAACGTAAGATAATATAAATCAATGCTATACGTTTATTGCGTTAGGAAATATCAGCGAGTTCCTCAAACGGAAAAGAGTTATTAGTAGATACTAAAAATGCGGCAATTTCATCTGCAAGCAGCAAAAATATACGGGTAGAATATGACGTCGGCAATATTTTATTTATATCGATTAAGGTATTATCTCGTTTGATATGTTTGTTTTGCGGCATCCTCAGTCATCCCGTTGTTTCAAGTGGAACCCAGAGTTGAGCTGGAAGCACGATTAGAAATCCCCCGTATCAATATCTAATTTGCATTCTAGAGAGGAGCAATCTAATTATCAGAACTACCGAGTACTAGTACGAGAAAAAATTGCTACTTAACTGACCTGCGAAAACCAGAAAAACATCAATATACAGTACAGGTTTACGCTATATGATAGATGTGTTTATATATCGGCCAAAAAATTGAAACATAAGGAATATGAAAACAACTGTTCCTTGACAAATGCTATAGATGGTTTGCTACT